GGGGCACCAGCTGGCACCCCACCCCCAGGCCCCGCGACCCCGCACAGGCGGCGTGCCCGAGGGCCCGCCGATGCCTATTGTGCGGGGCCACCGCGCCCCGGCTTCAATACCTAACCCAACCTACCATATCAACCTCCCAGGTCTCCCACTACACCGGCCCCCAGCTACTCAGTCTCCCTCTACCGGCCTCTCGGTTTCCCGCCAATCCTTCAAATGTTTAGATTATTATAATCCTCCAAATGTGAGAACCAGTGCAATAATCCAGTTAAGTTTTATTTATTTATATTTATATTAACTCTACATATCCTTTGTTTGTGTGTAGCACATTTATTTAATAGAATCTATCACCTTTTTGGAAATTTTGTTTTACATATATTTTTGTTTATAAATTTCATATATTTCTTAATAAAATCGCTTACTCAAGAGATAACGAAACCGTAAGGGCGTTTTCCTTTGCCAGGTGCAAGCTCAGACTATTAGAGCGAGAGGTATGATAGAAAATTCGCCATTACGTAACAGGTATAAGCAAATTCAATTGATTCTGCAATAATATATGTCTTACTGAGTTCTTCTAGAGATTTCTCAAGGTGTTTTTCAATAAGACATATATCAGTGGTAGAATGTGGACTCTCTAATACATTATATCTACTTAATAAATTTTCCAGCTGAGACCACCTAGATAATTTCTTATCAATAGGCAGTACCCACTTTAAATCATTGAATGAAACTTTATTGCTTTCTTGTAAAATTTGTAATTTCATGTTGTCACTAATCACAATCTGTGTATTTAGAATCAGTCAGAATTATCATTACATACGAGCATAAAAAAATTAATTTTTGTAAAAATACATGTAAAACAAAATTTTCAAAAAGGTGATTCTAATAAATAAATGTGCTACACACAAACAAAGGATATGTAGAGTTAATATTAATATAAATAAATAAAACTTACGTGGATTATTGCACTGGTTCTCATATTTGGGGGATTATAATAATCTAAAAATCTAAACATTTGAAGGATTGGTGGGAAACCGAGAGGTGGGAGACGATGATACGTCGAGTGGGAGAGTGGTGGGGATAAACAGTACCACGATTTTGGCATCACTGCTCCTGCGTTGTTGCCATTTTTACGTTCAGCAAGGCTAGTACTAGAGGCGGCTGTGACAGCACCTGTTTGGCATACCAAGATGGCTGACAGTCATTCCCCTTTCCTCCCTTGTGCCACAACCACCGCGTCGATGATTCTACTTTATGCACCATCCTTTAGGTCCATGGTCTAGACTCTAGACCCTGTTGTATGGTGCAGTCAGGTTGAGTGAGGTCAGTGAGGCTTGGTGAGATTGATTCAGGTGCGTCAGGTGCAGTGCAGTGTGTTGTTTGTTAAAGGGATAGATACTTTTGTTTAAGAAATTGTGTTGAATGTTTTGGATATGTCGCATTTGGTACGTACACAATATTAGTAATTTAATAATTTTATAAATTTCTCCTTTTCTATTACAATGGTTTCATTTAATCATGTTTACCAAAACTGCCATTAAGTTCCATTAATGAAAGACTGCTGAATTGTTTGTTTCTATATTTATTTATTATTATGTATTTCAATTAATATTCGGTTTGCTGCATACACGTATAAATGTAGTAAATTGTTTATTCAATAAATTCGTACGAGCTGATGACAAATATAATCATTGTTATGAACTCAGAAACATTAGTCAGAAGTGATTATGATTACAGCAAGGCAATATTGTCAGATTTTCTGTAGCTTTTCTCTACACTGTTTTCACTTCTTTTAAGAAATAATATCAATTGCAGAGAAATTATTTTTTCATTTTATAAATTAATATTGATAGTATTTAATTAATATTAATAAATTACAATTAAGCTTGGTAATAATACAATTAAATTTACTAATGCATAATTTGCATTTACACTGACTACTTATTACATTTATTTTAGAGAAAAAAAGAATGGGTTGTGTCAATAGTCGGACAAACATTAATCCAAATGTTTTTCAAGTGATGAATGTAGATGACTCAGGTAAATTAATTACCCCTGGACGCTTAGAAATTACTGACACTGAAATAGTGCTTTATCAACGGGGCAAACAGCCCATCAAATGGCCTTTACGTTGTTTGCGTCGGTATGGCTTTGATGCCGAAATATTTAGTTTTGAATCTGGTAGACGGTGTTCTACAGGGCAAGGCATTTATGCTTTTAAGTGTCGTAGAGCAGCACATTTATTTAGTGTTGTACAAACAAATATACAGGTTTGTATTCTTACATGTTCAAAATCTATAGACATTTTGAATGATTTAGTCTGTTTAACATTAACCGTACTGAGACTTTTCTATATCTATTTGTACCATATTTAAAACCAATCATTTGACTGGGTCTGGTACGGTTAATTCTAAAGTATACAAAGTGTTTTAGGTATACATATCAATGGAACAAAAAATTTTGTATATCATGTTCGATTTGCCTCTGTTTTATAATAATAATGCCATAAGTTTCAGAATATTGTAATCTATATTCAATGACTCAGGGCTTTGTAATTTCACAAGTTAATTGCAGAGTAAAAATAAAATAAAGTTTTAATGTATTTTGTCATATCTTCTATAATTTAGCTGTTATAAAATTTAACAAGTGTGAGATGTCTACAAAAAAAACTGAGGTTATGTACATACATATAGCATAATCCAAATGATTACATTATAATCAGTTGCCATGCAATGCATGACAAGCTACTGGTCAGCAACTGAGTTTCTATTAGTGATTAATGCCTTCACATCTATGGATAACATATCTCACGAATTGATTTTTACCCATTCAATTCTCTAGATGATACATGTCATGCCTTGATGTCGTTCATTTGACAGTTTGGATGAGATACTTCGCGAATATGTATTTTCATTAGAGCATTTAACGATGCTAGTTACCCTAAATACCCCTATATATGTATGCAATATTTTACACTTTTCAAAAAATTTTATTTTTCTTGTACATGAAATCCTTGAAAACATGGTGTGAAAACTATTATTATAGACACGATATATCTTGCTCAACCTGTCTGATGAACGATATTGAGTTGTAAATATTAATCAACAAAAACGCGAGATATTATATATCTCGTTCAAAATGTCACATAAACGACATCAAGTCACAAGGTATTCTGCCCAAAGAATTGGATGTGTAAAAATCAATTTGTGAAATATCTCATCCACGGATGCGAAGGGGTTGATAATAAATTCTAAGCTAATGATAATTTTGTCCATTATACCTGTGTATGGTATGTGAGAATCTGAAGGTACTTTAAAACATGCATCACTTTTTTAAACAGCTGAAATGTTTAAATCAAAAAGCTATTTGAATGTGCTTGTTTTATTTGTATGCATAATCTACTCTCTGTCCCACACTCACATTGCTATTTACAAGGTGTTATTAATGCAAAATAGAAGCAGATCAGATATAATGTCATGGGGTATTTTTTCTTTTATTTGAGTTCCTCTACTTACCTCTTAAAATATTTCAACATATATCTGGTACACCCAGTATTGTTTATTGATTGTCAATATGAAATGTATAATAATTTCCATTAATGTATATAAATTTTGATTGATAAGTGCCTTTCAAATGATAATATTTCAAAGTAAATAAATACTTAATTAAAATTTGTCTTTAGGTTTGTAGTAACAATGGGGATGATACAATGTCTAGAGAACTTCCAATTGCTTCTCATCCTGGTCCAACAATAACAAGAGTAACAATACCAGTTGAGCCTAATTATTTGGATCCAATACTAAATAGAACTAATAATCGTATGGGTCCTAGACATGCTCATAGCCAACAAAATGGAACTGGAAGATTAGGTAGTGTGGGAAGTAACACCGACATTATATCACCACAAGGAACCATAGGGTCTTCCTCTCCACCTCCTGTGCTGCCACCATCTCCACCACCATTCCCTCAACCGCATCCGTCCTCACTTTATGTTAATGAAGAAGTGTTATCACCTTTACCATTGGAAATGGAACATAATAATAACAAAAGACTTAGAACAGCAATACAGAGGTAAAGAAAATTTCTATTTATTTTATTGTTAATATTATTCAGTGTTAATAAATTTGTATTGTTTATAGATCATGTACAGTGGGTAATTCAATATCCGATAACAGCTCAGTATCATTGGAATTGACATCTACCCAGAAAAACACAAATGTTACTCCTCAAACTAAATCACCACTTTCAACAGCAACTTATATGAATGTAGATATTAATACTGATATTAGTCCTCTTTCTCCAACTCATAGTGTTCCTGAAACAATGCAATTTAATGAAGAAAAATGTGAAAATAACGAATTTGGACATGCTTATATGAATATAAGCCCAGGTCAAGAATGTACAGAATTGTTTGTTGCTAAAGCACGACCTTCACCATTGCCACCTGTTCAATCTGACATGGAAGAAGTAACGAGACATTGTTATGCTAATTTAGAAGCAAGTGAAATTGAAAGCTTAAGAAAAAGATTTTCTGGCGTATCAGTAGCAGAAAAATCACCTTTGACTCCGTCAACGCCTACAGGTGGTCCAATTAGGGAAGTGAATTATGCTGTATTAGATTTAGATACAAAGGATGTATCGATCAATTCACCATTGGAGGGTCCTACAAATTCAATAGCATCTCCTCCAGGGACCCCAAATAAGCTACAAAAAGGGTATGCTACAATAGATTTCAATAAGACAGCTGCTCTTTCACATTCAGTCAATCCGAATCTTGTAAATGATAATGAGGGTTCGAGGAAGACGCGTCACAATTCCACGATTAGTGACCTAACAGCTTCCTTTAGACGTAGTTCATCTGTAAGTGAATGATCTATCTTTTACTTTATAACTGTGCCTACATAATGAATATTTACAGCATTTTATAGAATGACAATGCGCTTTACAATTTTATTACATTTAAACATGTACTAATGCAAAAGACATGAAATTACTTTGCAGACCTTTTTTTGTCTAATACTGATCAAGCAGAAATTCGTTACGTTTGAAGCAGTTTACCTTGAGTCAGAAATTGTATTTCTTGACTTTGTTATCAAGAATCCTTCTAAAATGTATTCTTTATAATAACAATTAACTTTTAAGTTTTGTAAGATATATATGAATGCATATGGTTCATCACAGTATTTTTAAAGAGTAAGTTTTTGTCTGTAGTAAGTGTTATTGAGATGTGATACAGTGGTAATTAATGCGGAAAAGCATTATCATAGAGGGTCTGCAAATGAAAAGCCTGAAGTTCTATAGAGTGGAAGCAAATGTAATATTCTTCAACTCTACTATTAAATATTCTAATATTCTGAGATCATAATATACCTATTGCAGGAAAGCCTTCTGAGCCAATAATTATGTTCTTTAAGTTAGCCTTTGAATCAAATTTGTGTATATGATGTCTCAAATCTTCTCTCATGATAGAGCTGATATAATTATAAATGTTATGTTTCTAAACTACCGTTTACATGATATCAGCTATATTAGTAACTTTTAACATTGTACTAGCCAGCCATGTCACAGCTTGATCACACTGTGAAATTTGTATAGAAACATTTCATCTATATTGGCTATACTTTCTATCCCAACATTACGTCTATTGGTCAGTTCTAAATTATATTAGGGATAATATTTTCCACTTAAATGAACATGACTCATTTTTTCTACTGGAGATGTAAGAACCATCAAATAGATAATATGACCTATAAGAAATTATAAGGTAGTTAAGTAACATTCTTAATAGTTCTTTTTTAAGTTCTTTAAGTTTCTAAATAAACTTCTTTTTTAATTCTTCAACAACACATCATTGTGATTAAAAATTATGCAATTACATTTTGTATTTTTAAGTCTTTAGTAGTAAACTCTGTGTATTATTTTTGATAAAAAAAGCATAGAACCATAATTACTCAACCAGAAAGGATTTTGTTTATACTCCATTAATCACAAATTAGGAATAATATCTACTTACATTGTAAATGATATTATGTTTAACAATTGTGTTTATTATTTATAATCCTATTACATATGCTGATTGTTTCATTTAACCCTTGTACGTGCATTCTTAGTCATATTGTTTGCTTATGTTTTAACACTAACCTACCAAACCCTTCAGAGAGGTAGGAATTAGTACGCCAAAACCTATTTTAGGGTATATATATATATATATACTAGTTTGGTAGGTTAGTGTTAAAACATTAAATTATGCTTTTAGCAGCATTCTGTGAATTTCCACTGTTAATTAGAGTTCAAGATAGAGAGAAAATGACAGCTGCGATTATTTAAACTTGTTTGAGAACTGCAAAACTGATATCAAAGCTTTTTCTTCTCAAGAGTTGCTTCTTTGCTTTGTGCTTCTAACTGGAATTTACTGAATTTGTTAATTATACTGGTCAACATGATTTTTGTCTCAAAGAACAATTATACTGATTCTTATAGATTCTTCTGTCCTGAATACGAATCCGTAAACAGTTTTTTGCCATCACCCTCAGTTTCTGAGAAATTTGATTTAAAAAAAAATGCAAATTTTCCACTTTGAACATTTTCTGTGTTCAAACATTAATAGTTATTCCCGAATAAAATGGTATATGTTGTTATCGCATTATTAACATTTAAACATGTTTAAACAACGATCAAAGGGAAAAGGACACCTGAAATGCACCAATTTTTACAGATATTTTTCAATTTACTTCAAAAAGTAAGGGTGCAGGACATATTCAGACCACGTCAACAGATACAGTAAACACTTTTCTTCCGGAAAGCATTAACGTAAATGATAAGACATATTTTGTGTTCAATACAAGAGCGAAATAGTTTTGTAAAACCTTTGATTATACTTTTTTTTTTTACTTTTTCTTATATCTTTGTGTAAGTAAAATTAGGTCACTAAATTATGAACAATCTGAATATATAATTTCTGACACTGGATCCTATTGGGATAGGACACTAAATTTCTCACAAGGTAGAACATATCGTGTGATCCTGCTGATGACAATGGTTTTGACATAAGTATATTTATTATAATTAGATTGCGCATTTTTATACAAATTCACAGATCTAGGCACTAATTTTTAAAAAAATTCAAATCTTTGTTATGTACATAATAACATGTAATATTGTTAAACTTCATTACATTTTCTACTACACTGTATTCTGCGGATTAAGAGTTAAAGCATAAACATCCGTAGTCTAATTATAACTATAAGTCATTTATTCTGGAGTATTTTCAGAAACAGGAGTTCCTCATGTGATATCACACGATCTTATACCTCCTATTTCCCTGTAAATGCCCGTTAATATATGTAAGAAAAACATGGTGTTGAGATAGCAGGTTGTTATTCCATGTATTATTGCCGCTTTATTGCTCGCAGATCGTTTCTTGCCAGGAGTATAGAGTATCTTTTATGTAGCCCTACTCCAAAAATCATTTTGTACAAATGGGTTATTCCAAGGGAAGAGTTCCAATATCGTTGCTCGACTATTCTTTTAAATATCTAATTCTTTGAGTATGTTTACCCTCGTATGTTGACACGTCAAAACAAGCGTCAGTTTATCTTAATGATTTTTTGTTTGCACGTAAGAAACGTATTTGTGTTGTGCGGAACGTCATTTCTTACGGTTTCGGGGGTTCACGAAAATTAAAATATTTCAGTGTCCGCTAATCACAGCAATATGGGATAAGAAGCATGTATTTCATGTATATGTAGAAAAGAATAAGCTACAATTATTGTTTTATGCACTTTTATTTTAAACCTAACTCTACTAGTTTGAGTCTAATTTGCAAATTTGATTCCTAGAAAAATGAAAAGTTCAATTGAAAATTTCGCCAAGAAGGAGTGAAAATCTCAAACTTAATTCCGGTTTTGTTTGGTAGTGCGCATGCCAACTTAGTTGGATGATAAGTTTCAAGTCTGAGACTTAATCCCTTTTTTTCTGTAATTTCTTAAATATTCCGATTTCCGTAATTTTTGTAAATTTTGGGGCTACAATTATTTAAAAGAACATATATTCAAAATATATGCCATGTAATATGCACATATATTTACACAATATGTAGATGAGTATATCTTCTGTATCACAGAATCTTAATCTTTTGGTTTTTTTATTACTTGAAGAATATTTTCATCTTTGTGCTTTATACAAGCTACTACATATGCAAAAAATCTTTGTTTACAACTATCTTATAGAAATGTTAGAAACATTAACATTATTTCATTAGTGTTATTGTTATTCATTTATAACACAATATTGTAGTATCTGTGACTATTGCTTTAGACAACTTTCTCTTCCAATAGCTTCTAATATACTTATTAAAATAGGGATCTGCCTATAAAAAAATAGAATTATATTTTTATGGGTACAGAATATGTCATTATTAAAAACATAAATGACTGAACATTACTTATGCAACATTTTACATAATGCTTATTTTGGCGTTTGACGAATCTAATGATTCAGACATTCTTAAAATTGAAATTTTAATACTTTTTTCTCAATGATTTTTGTATTGTGCTAAAACTGTAGCATTTACTTATTATAATACTATTTGTTTACTAATTAAGTTCGAAAACTAAATTGATAAACAAGTTGTATAATATTAAAATATTATACAAATTATTACTCCATCCTATATGATAATATCTGTGACTATATCTATAACTATTTTAAATTTTTATTCTGCATTGCACCTTATTTACTACACAGTTTTGTTAGCCTTTTCCTATTGTATGCATTAATTAATGTTTAGAAGAGGCCAATCAAAATAGAGTAACAAATATGATACATTGCTAAGCTGATCATATTGATATTGAGAACCTTTTTTTTAAATATTAAATATTATTAATACTATGATTATTGTCATTTATTTTCTACACAGTAATGATAATGTTTAATGAAGAGAAACAATGTTAATATTATTAAAAGATCTTGTTTATAAACTGACAGATTATTTAATGTTAGGTATTTTTATGTTTAGTAAGAAAAAATGTTGCATGTATACGTACAACTTGAAAAACATATTGTAGTGATTGAATGTTGTAGACGATAATTATATGTTTGATAACATGTTGTTTTATTATATTGACATATTCACTGCCACAATTTGACATCTGTCTAGAATTAAGCAACTGTTACAAAAACTTTCAGAGTGCAGGTGTATACTACATTAATAATGATTTTGTAATATTTCCTATTGTGTTTTATCATATACAGTTATTTACTATTATTATGTACATTATGCTAAGAAGGAATGGTAGTGAATGAGTTAATATAAATGATTGAAACAATCTGCTTTATTGTATCATAATTTTATATGAAAGCATTTGGCCTTATATATATATCCTGTATCATTGTTTGATATACAACTCAAATGCAAAATATACTTGCAAGTATTCTGTAAGTTTATTTATATTTAGAATTTTGTATTTAAATTCTAAAATAAATGAAAATTATCAGGCCTATGTGGAAAAATTAATGTTTTCATAGTATACATATACATATAGTATCACATAGATATTAGAGGCATTTTTAGCTACTAATTGCACATTATATGCATTCATGTGTATTTTAAACAGCCATTTCTATGAAACCAAAGAATTCATTTTTGTTTGCTATGTAAGCCTAAAATTTCATTCAGATATTTTTTTTATGCATAGAAAATAGATAAATATTATTTTTAAAAAGATATGAGAATGTTACTGCGAACAATTATTGAAATGATGAATTATATATAAGTTGAAAAGTAAATATTGATTGTAAACTTCAACACATGAAAAAAGACAACATATTTTGTAAACTGTATTCTTTTATTGATTTTTAACTTCTAATTAACTGAATTTACTCAATTTTTGAAAATCAATATATCTTATTATTAAATATTTATTATTTAGCTAATTACATTTTCAATTATATTTGCAATATTGAATTACTAAAATGAAAGAAGGTAAGCATTCAAA